TGTTTGCGGGGGTTTTGTTTGTTGTTTTTTTCCAGTCAGAAATTACATGGAAGAGTAGGGATAAATACAATCTTGAGAGATGGTCGCCACCTAGTGGAATAAGTGGTGTAACCGCTCACGCTTATGAGGAGTAGTGCCTGTCAGTTCATGTTCTCTCTCTCTCTCTTTCTTTTGTGGTTTTTTTTTTTTTTCATGGCAAGGCCTCACCGAGTCTCCCAGGCTGGGTTTGAACTCCTCATGTAACCCAGCAGGACTTTTGAAGTTGGTTTTTTGCCTCAACCTCTTAAATGATTGAGATTACAATGTGCCCTGCCCAGGGCACTGCTTGAAGTTAGTTAGCCCCAGAAGCAAGTGGAATCACAGTCAAAATTCCCAGTTAAGGCTTAAAGAAAAGGTGAAATTCAGCGCAGGAGGGGGCTGGGGGCTGAGCTGGTGTGCAGACTGAACTGTTGGTTTTGTTGCTCAACTGTTGAGCGTGGCCTTGTCAAGATCAGAGTTCTGAAACACCTTACAGAAAAAGATGAAGAACTCTGCCCTTGCAACGTGTGTCCTAGGAGGGGCCCCAGAAATGTTCCAGAAGGTCTGGACAAGGCTCTGCTAATTTAGCCTTCCTTTTCCAGTTAAAAACGACATTTTACCAGTGTTCCAGCAAGCGCATGCATCCCTGGCTTTAGCAGCGGGCTGGCACAGATCTCTTCAGCAGAGACAGCTGCATTTATTTATTGTATCTATCAAGTGAATTGTGGTAGACATGAGGCTAGTGAATTAGTTAATGCTGTTTGGTTAGCTTTTAATCCGGAGCTGCCGTGAGTGGTGTGCAGACGTTCAGAAACCTCTTACAGAGTCTCCGTGTCCCAATAAAGAACGCCTGCACTTTGCATCTCGTGGAAGTCCCATGTCTGAAGCTGGTTTGGTTTTGCTTTGTTTGGTTTTGACATAGGATCTTGCTGTGTAATCCAGGCTGAGTTCAACCTGTAGGGGCCACAGAGCTTTTTGAGCTCAGTTAAGCACCAGGGGAACCAGGAATGTTAAACACACAGGGTTGTCTCTTCGAAGAAAGAGCTATAACCTGATTTCCTCCCAAAGCCTGAGAATGGATGAGGTTAATAGCCCGGTGACCTTGGTTCTGTCTGTGACCGAGACCTCCAGGCCCTTAAGACATCACATGCAGTCCATCCATAGAACCCTTCTTTATGGGGGAGGTCACGTGTACCTTATGTGGTTTAAAGTTTCAGTGCAGACATTCCTTAAGCTTTGTTGTGCACCAGGGAACTTTGCTCCAAACTGTGCTGCACTTAAATATGCCAAAAGCAACCTGTCCAGCGTCAGGCTCTTGGAGTTCGAACCAACAACCGCTACTGAGTCATGATGAGAGGGACTTCCTTCTTGCCTCACACCGTTTGACACTCTGCTGATTTTTGTGGTCATAGAGACCACCCATGCTACCCCCCCACTATCAAACTCCCAATTCTCCTGCATCAGCATCCTCTGGGATTATAGGTGTCCACCCCCCACAGTTGGGATTATAGTCCTCCACCCCCCACAGTTGGGATTATAGGCCTCCACCCCCCACAGTTGGGATTATAGGTGTCCACCCCCCACAGCTGGGATTATAGGCCTCCACCCCCCACAGCTGGGATTATAGGTGTCCACCCCCCACAGCTGGGATTATAGGCCTCCACCCCCCACAGTTGGGATTATAGGCCTCCACCCCCCACAGCTGGGATTATAGGTGTCCACCCCCCACAGCTGGGATTATAGGCCTCCACCCCCCACAGTTGGGATTATAGGCCTCCACCCCCCACAGCTGGGATTATAGGCCTCCACCCCCCACAGTTGGGATTATAGGTGTCCACCCCCCACAGCTGGGATTATAGGCCTCCACCCCCCACAGCTGGGATTATAGGTGTCCACCCCCCACAGCTGGGATTATAGGCCTCCACCCCCCACAGTTGGGATTATAGGCCTCCACCCCCCACAGCTGGGATTATAGGTGTCCACCCCCCACAGTTGGGATTATAGGCCTCCACCCCCCACAGTTGGGATTATAGTCCTCCACCCCCCACAGTTGGGATTATAGTCCTCCACCCCCCACAGTTGGGATTATAGGCCTCCACCCCCCACAGTTGGGATTATAGGCCTCCACCCCCACAGCTGGGATTATAGGTGTCCACCCCCCACAGTTGGGATTATAGGCCTCCACCCCCCACAGCTGGGATTATAGGTGTCCACCCCCCACAGTTGGGATTATAGGCCTCCACCCCCCACAGTTGGGATTATAGGCCTCCACCCCCCACAGTTGGGATTATAGGCCTCCACCCCCCACAGTTGGGATTATAGGCCTCCACCCCCCACAGCTGGGATTATAGGTGTCCACCCCCCACAGTTGGGATTATAGGCCTCCACCCCCCACAGTTGGGATTATAGGTGTCCACCCCCCACAGTTGGGATTATAGGCCTCCACCCCCCACAGCTGGGATTATAGGCCTCCACCCCCCACAGTTGGGATTATAGGTGTCCACCCCCCACAGTTGGGATTATAGGTGTCCACCCCCCACAGTTGGGATTATAGGCCTCCACCCCCCACAGCTGGGATTATAGGCCTCCACCCCCCACAGCTGGGATTATAGGCCTCCACCCCCCACAGCTGGGATTATAGGCCTCCACCCCCCACAGCTGGGATTATAGGCCTCCACCCCCCACAGCTGGGATTATAGGCCTCCACCCCCCACAGCTGGGATTATAGGCCTCCACCCCCCACAGCTGGGATTATAGGCCTCCACCCCCCACAGCTGGGATTATAGGCCTCCACCCCCCACAGCTGGGATTATAGGTGTCCACCCCCCACAGCTGGGATTATAGGCCTCCACCCCCCACAGTTGGGATTATAGGTGTCCACCCCCCACAGTTGGGATTATAGGTGTCCACCCCCCACAGCTGGGATTATAGGCCTCCACCCCCCACAGTTGGGATTATAGGTGTCCACCCCCCACAGTTGGGATTATAGGTGTCCACCCCCCACAGTTGGGATTATAGGCCTCCACCCCCCACAGCTGGGATTATAGGCCTCCACCCCCCACAGCTGGGATTATAGGCCTCCACCCCCCACAGCTGGGATTATAGGCCTCCACCCCCCACAGCTGGGATTATAGGCCTCCACCCCCCACAGCTGGGATTATAGGCCTCCACCCCCCACAGTTGGGATTATAGGCCTCCACCCCCCACAGCTGGGATTATAGGCCTCCACCCCCCACAGCTGGGATTATAGGTGTCCACCCCCCACAGCTGGGATTATAGGCCTCCACCCCCCACAGTTGGGATTATAGGCCTCCACCCCCCACAGCTGGGATTATAGGCCTCCACCCCCCACAGCTGGGATTATAGGCCTCCACCCCCCACAGTTGGGATTATAGGCCTCCACCCCCCACAGTTGGGATTATAGGTGTCCACCCCCCACAGTTGGGATTATAGGCCTCCACCCCCCACAGTTGGGATTATAGGCCTCCACCCCCCACAGTTGGGATTATAGGCCTCCACCCCCCACAGCTGGGATTATAGGCCTCCACCCCCCACAGTTGGGATTATAGGCCTCCACCCCCCACAGTTGGGATTATAGGCCTCCACCCCCCACAGTTGGGATTATAGGCCTCCACCCCCCACAGCTGGGATTATAGGCCTCCACCCCCCACAGTTGGGATTATAGGCCTCCACCCCCCACAGCTGGGATTATAGGTGTCCACCCCCCACAGCTGGGATTATAGGCCTCCACCCCCCACAGCTGGGATTATAGGCCTCCACCCCCCACAGCTGGGATTATAGGCCTCCACCCCCCACAGTTGGGATTATAGGTGTCCACCCCCCACAGTTGGGATTATAGGCCTCCACCCCCCACAGCTGGGATTATAGGCCTCCACCCCCCACAGCTGGGATTATAGGCCTCCACCCCCCACAGCTGGGATTATAGGCCTCCACCCCCCACAGCTGGGATTATAGGTGTCCACCCCCCACAGCTGGGATTATAGGCCTCCACCCCCCACAGCTGGGATTATAGGTGTCCACCCCCCACAGCTGGGATTATAGGCCTCCACCCCCCACAGCTGGGATTATAGGCCTCCACCCCCCACAGTTGGGATTATAGGTGTCCACCCCCCACAGCTGGGATTATAGGCCTCCACCCCCCACAGTTGGGATTATAGGCCTCCACCCCCCACAGCTGGGATTATAGGCCTCCACCCCCCACAGCTGGGATTATAGGCCTCCACCCCCCACAGTTGGGATTATAGGCCTCCACCCCCCACAGCTGGGATTATAGGCCTCCACCCCCCACAGCTGGGATTATAGGCCTCCACCCCCCACAGCTGGGATTATAGGCCTCCACCCCCCACAGCTGGGATTATAGGTGTCCTGTTTGCTTTTCTGCTGCCGCGATAAAGCATGACTGAAACCAACATGGCGACGGAGAGGGGTGTATTTGATTTACACATCCTGGTTCCAGTCCACATTGAGGGAACTCGAGTTGAGATCTGGGGAGGAAATGAAGCAGAAGCCACAGAATATGCTGCTCACTGTCCTAACTCCCTCTAGGTGGCACTCGGCCTGCTCTCACAACAGCTGCGCCGGGCACAGCGCGCTGGGCCTCTCACAGGCATCTACCAGCATGAAAACGCCCCACAGAGACAGCTGTGCTCACAGGCCAAGGTGATGGTGGCAGTCCCCCAACTGAGACTCCCTCAGGTGACTCTTGGCTGTGCCAAGCTAACAGCTGAGCATAACCAGGAGGCCAGCCTGGGCGTTTCTCTCCTACGGACTTTCCTTAGTGCCAGGTTACCAACTCTACCTATTTTACAAGGAAATAAATGATTTATTTTTGTTTTACATTTATTTTAGTTTCTTCCCTTTTTCTGGTTTTTTAAAAAATTTCATTTTGTCTCTGTCAACGTGGAGTCGCCTTTAAAGTGTGGTGACGTCCTAAAAATGAACCCTTGCTTCTGTCTTTGCAGGTACCGGCTAGTTCCACAGGTCTTCTTTCCTGAGCAAATTTACGACGTCATCCGTGCCACCAGATACTTCCTGCAGCCAGAAGTCTTAGACAAGTACAGGGTGGACCCTGCCCGCGTTGCTGTTTCAGGAGACAGTGCTGGTGGGAATTTGGCCGCTGCCCTTGGACAACAGGTAACAGTACTCCCTCAGGGTGCTTGCTGTAGCAGGGTTGGGGGAGGCGTGAGCATGCCCTGCAGATGCTCCTATACTAGTGGTGGGACTGCTCAGCATGGGGCTAGCACCCAGATGTGACTGCTCTGGGAGCTTTCTTGAAGGGGTTGCTGAGGAGTGTCTCTGAAGAGGCTCGGGAAGATGTGTGGGCATGAAATAGCCCAACCTACCTGGCACTGGGTGACTTGCAGAATGGGATATTTTGATTTAAATTTCCATGCCTGTAATTGTTTTCGTAGAGTTTTAAGAGAAATTAAAATGCTAAGCCATTTCCCAAAGTTTCATTTATTTTTATTATTTGGTGTTCTTGGTTTGTTTTTTGAGATACGGTATCATGTAGTAGCCCTGGGTAGTACCAAATTTTCTGTGTAATTTAGGATGACCTTGAACTTCTGATCCTCCTGCCTCCACCTCCCAAGTGTTGAGGTTACAGTTCCATACCACCACTCCCAATGTATTTGTGTTTTGAGATATTGCCTTACTATGTAACCTAGGCTGGACTAGAACTTCTGATCCTATGGCCTTAGCCATCTGGAGTGCTGGGCTTGTTGGTGCAAACCACCATGCCTGGCTCATAGGCCTCAAAGATAGACAGAATTTGGGGCCCACTGTGGAGAACTGAAAGTCCATGCCTGAATCCCTCTGTTCTGTGAGCCCTGGAAATGTGAAGATGAGGTCATCCAAGGGTTTAGCGAGACCATGTGCACACAGTTCTCACATACGTCTTACCAGGAGATGGGTTCTAAACCCAAGAGAGGTTTCTTAGTTACCGTGAGTTCTCCCATCTCCTTTTGAGATGTGGTATACACAGGCAGAATTTTAAGTGCTGGATTTACAAAATGGGACAATATTGTCACCCCATGCAGAGTCACAGGTGAATTGAGGCTGCTGGGATGGGAAGTCGTACCCCTTTGGGCTCCCTCTGAGCATGAGTTACTTGCCTGTGTGAACTCACTGTGTCAGCATAGAGACCAAAAGCTCCTGTCGCCAAGTACCAGTGAACCCCGGAGTCCCACCATCCCTTATTCACACTCTATCCTTCTCTAAAGGAGGAAGATTTTTGATTTTTTCCCCCTAATTCAGAAGCCATTGCCATTTGTTGTCTAATAGGAACAAAAAGTTCGGTTACCACGAGTCTTCCCATCCATATGCAGAATTTTAAAGGCTGGATTTACAAAGTGGGACAATATAGTTACCCCAGGTAGAGTAAGGTCCATAATTTACTCACATGTAATGTGCACCAAGGTGTGTAAGTACTATAAAAGATAGATAGAAACAAGTAGAGCATTTTTGGGGGTGTAGAGACCTCAGGGGTCACGTAACAGCGAACTCATTCAAAACTACATGTCGCAAACAGTAAATGTTCCTTAGGAGTTGTCCAGCAGCATAGCTTGGTGATGTGGAACGCTTTATTTAATTCTAAAAAATCCCACTCGTTTATTTAAAACATTCTGTAAACTGCTTTCTATAAAAGTATCCATGCAAATAAAATCTCACGTTTCTTCTATTCTAGTTTAGTTACGTGGACAGCCTTAAAAATAAGCTCAAACTGCAGGCGTTAATCTACCCGGTCCTCCAGGCTTTGGATTTCAACACGCCGTCTTACCAGCAGAATGCGAACACTCCCATCCTGCCGCGCCACGTCATGGTGAAGTACTGGGTGGACTACTTCAAAGGCAACTACGACTTCGTGCAGGCCATGATTGTGAACAACCACACGTCGCTGGATGTGGAAAAGGCTACGGCCCTGAGGGCCCATCTCGACTGGACATCCCTGTTGCCCCCGTCCATCAGAAAGAACTACAAGCCTGTGGTGCAGACCACAGGTGATGCCAGGATCACCCAGGAGATCCCCCAGCTGCTGGATGCCTCCTCCTCCCCGCTCATCGCAGAGCAGGAAGTGCTTCAGCGCCTGCCGAAGACTTACATCCTCACCTGCGAGCACGACGTCCTGCGGGATGACGGGATCATGTACGCTAAGCGCCTGGAGAGTGCCGGTGTGAACGTGACCTTGGACCACTTTGAGGACGGCTTTCACGGTTGTATGATTTTCACAAGCTGGCCGACTAACTTCTCTGTGGGCATCCGGACTAGGAATAGTTATATCAAGTGGCTGGATCAAAACCTGTGACGAAGTAACCTCCTCAGATGCACGAGGCTCTCGACCTCCGTTCGCGTTGGAAGGATCGGCTCCTCTCCCTTGTTTCTCATGTGTATTGGAACCTGTACCCTGCAGACCTTATGATAATCTGCGTTGTAAAAGTGACTCACTGGCAAGTTTAAAAACATCTCGGCCATTTTCTCTATTCTTTATTGTCGTCCACGTGGAACGAATGGTCACAATTTGAGGAGCTAGAATTAGCCCTAGGTCCTGTCTCTATTGTGTTCTTTCAGCAAGAGCTTTTCCAGCTGTGGGTGCGGTAGTAACTTCTGAGGAACTGAATAAACGTGAGCTTTTTCTTTAGTTCCCCGGTTGACGTGGGTGCAGAGCAGGGTCCGGGCACTCGGGGGCGCTCCGAAGCAGAGCCAGGGACGGCCTCTGACAATGGCTGTGTTTCCTGTGGGAATTTTCACAGGATTTCCAGCAAGGTGTACTTCTCAAAGGCTTTTCTTCCCTCAGAGTGGTAATTTATGAACAGGTTGATGTACATTCAGTGCGGGCTAAAAGGACACCTGAAAGTTCCTTTCTGCTCCTATTCTGGAAAAGACGGTGCATGTACTTGATGCGTCCCTGGGAAAATCTTTTGGAGACAAACTTATTTATATGTAGAGTAGGTTTCTTATTATGAAATAAGTAAAGATAGAAAAACCAAACAGCCTGTTGTTACTTAGGAATACTCTCCTGGCATAAACTACTAAGAGTGGTGTGTATATATTTGGGATAGTGAACAAATAAATTATGCTTAATAATACCTTAAAATTACGAGAAATACTTTTAGAAGTCTAGTCCATTTTTGGAAGAAGGGCTAGTCCATTCTTGAAAACTCAATTTTTTCACGTGTAGCTGAAAATTAGACAATTTTGGTATAGTGTGTTGTTTATTTTTTAAGTTATTTATTGTTAATATACATAGCTAAACAGGATTTTTCTGAAAGACATCTATTATAAAAAATTTAAGATAAAAAGTATTTTTAAAAGAAAACTACCATAGAGTTATATCCACATGTGATTTTGTGAGGAACTAGATAGTAGTAGTAGTAAGGGTCAAATACTTCAATATTTAGATGCATATGCAAATTAAGATAATTAGAAACTTTTTTACTTAGTACAGACATCCAAGTAATGCTGTCTGACCATCCTAATCCAAATCAGAACTATACCAAAATCCAGAATTTTGAGTCTGGTCTGATGGCACAGATAGAAAATTCCAGACCATGGAAGTTTATTTTGTGTATAAAATTATGAAACCTGTTGTGTGAAGTTACCCTCAGGCTATGTAATGAAGTTGTATAAAAAGCACAGATGAATGTCTCAATTAGATTTGGGTCCTATTCTCAAGATATTTTTATATATATGCAAATATCCCAAAGTCTAGAATAATTAAAACTCTGAAAGGCTCTGGTCCCAAGGTTTTCAGATGAGGGATACCCGGCCTGTAGTTTAATAATTGACAGATACGCATAATCATCTGTGCCCATGATGGCCAAGAGAACCATCATGGCATCTCCCCGAGTGAAAGGCAGACGCCAGCACTGCCCACTCCCTGAGTTTCTCCATTCAGCTCTAGAAGTTCCAGCTGCCCAGCCTTACCATCATAAATGGTCTTCACTGCCAGTGTGGGCATCTTGGGCATGGGAAGGAATTACAGATCAGATCTGAGTTGAACACCCAGCCCTCCTTCCTGTCACACAATCCGAGCTGCATTTCAGGACGGTACAGAGAACACTCAGCCACGTCATGGTCCAGGTCATCGTGGAAAGAGAGCAACAGAGCCTCCCACTTCACGAAGGATGGGTCTTTCCTGTTTCCAGCAACGAGGCAACAAATGAACACCTTTACTCTGACTTTCATGTATCGTAAAAGCTACTAGCATCTTTATACATAAGCGAATGTACGGTGTGTGTTTGTGTGTGCTGTGTGCATATGAAAATACTCTTGTAGATAACCTTGCTGATGTGCTCGAGCCCCTGTCGCTGGTCTCCCTTGTCTGAAATCTGAGCGCAGAGCTACTGGATCTTTCAGGTCCCTTCTAACATCACTCTTCCCTCTGCTAATTTTTGCTAGGTCGTAATTCTGAATACACCAACATGCTCGTCTCTAAACACTGATTTTGCTTATGAATAGATTTTTAAAAATTGGCCACATAGCATCAGTGCCTCCACAGGGTTATCTCTGTTCACATTTGGGATATAAATTGATGCCCATCTTCAACTGAAGTTATGGGGAAAAAATCGCAGGGTGTTTTTAAAGCCTGAGATTTCAGTTCTTGGTTGAGTGACAGCCAGCTTCTCACGGTGCTGGGCACGGCACCCAGATCCTTCCATACTTGGTAAGTGCGTTACCCTGAGCTATGCCTGGAGCTTCATTGCTGTTTTCGTCCACACCATTTAAAGGTGTGAAATACATTTTGATTTTACCTCGAAGAAAGAGGAAAATGTAACATATTCACAGAATTCCTTAAAATGACATTTTCTTTCCCAACTGTGAGCTACATTCTACAAAAATCACAGACAATATGTGTTTGCAGATGTCTGAGGAGCTCTCAAAGGTGAAAAGGGAATGAAGGGGACAAAGGGACCACCCTGTATCTGATAGCATACTTGGGTTTATTCTTAGAGGTTTGTTATGCTCCACGTGCGATCTCTTTTTCAGTGTGTCGTAGCTTGGTTTTGTTTTCCTGTTGTATGAAATGTTACACTTTGGAATACTAAGATCTTTGAACCAGAACTTTAACAAATGAAGGAGAATCTTGAGGTGCTGCAGAGTGTGACGTACGATTCCTCGTGGGGTGTTCATGCTCATTTGTGAGGACCTGAAGACTTGCCTAAAGATGGAGAATGGATTGTTTTGTGCACGACCTTTGAACCTTTGGCTTTTTGTTTGCCAATTCTTACTACAAAGGGGAAGGCAGATTTTATGAAGACTTTTAGGAACAAATACATTTTATGGACTGAAGATCCAGTATGGCACTGGGAAAGTTTGTTTATGTTTGGAATCTTGTTTGGAAATAAAATGGGTTCACCTGGAAGCTCTCCTCTGTCCTTTTCCCTGCCTACGCTTTCTGGTTCCAACTGGAGTCGCTGGCCACTTTCTTTGTATCCAGGTGACAGCCCAAATCCTCTCCCCTAAACTGATTCTAGCTGTCTCTGTGTCACAGACTGGTGGTTCCGTGACCTCCCTGATGAGACTAACTTCCTGTCTGGATGCACTTGATTTGTCCCTATTCAAGTGAAACCTGCCATAGGCTGGCCCTTGTCTGTAAAGCCCCTCATCTGCCCTCAATGCTGATATAGAAAAGATGAGCGTGGGCTTGAACCATCGCAACCAGAGAAGAATCAGTTGTGAAATCAAGTTCTCAAACTGACTCTAACAGACTGGAGTATTTTTTTTAAGATTTATTTATTTATTATGTGTACAATGTTCTGCCCACCTGTGTGCCTGCACACTGGAAGAGGGCACCAGATGGTTGTGAGATACCATGTGGTTGCTGGGAATTGAACTCAGGACCTCTGGAAGAAAATCCAATGCCTTTAACCTCTGAGCCGTCTCTCCAATTCCCAAACTTGAATATGATACTTACTTCTATCAGTATTGTCTTAATCACTATTTTTCTTGCTATGAAGAGACACCATGACCATGGCAAATGTTAAAAGACAGAGTATTTAACTGGGGACTTAATTTCAGCTTCTGAGGCTTAGGGCATTATCCTTATGCCAGGAAGCAGCACATTCTACTTCCTGCTCCCCGTAGGCTTGTAGCCATATAATGATGTGAAAATGTGTCAGTCCAACTTCAAGATCCCCATAGTGTTTTAGTCTCAAGACTTTCAAAGTCCAAAGTCTCTTCTGAGACTCAAGGCAATCTCTTAAGTGTAACCCCACTGGAAAGCAAAAGCAAAAAGCAAATCACATACTTCCAACATACAGTGTCACAGAATATACATACATGACCATTCCAAAGAGGAGGAAAAGGAGCATAGCGAGGAAATACTGAACCAAAGCAAAATCAAAAACCAAACTGCATCTTCATGTCTAATGTCAATGCATTCTTCAGATCTCCAACTCCTTTCAGCTTTGTTGGCTACAACATACTTCTGGCTGGTTTCACCCCCTCTTAGCAGCTTACCTTCCCAAGCAGCCCATGACTCTGCCATTTCCAACATCTTAGGGTCTCAGGCTTCACCTTCATAGCTTCATACAACGACCTATTTAAGCCTACATTCTGGGACACCCCTGACACATGCCTGGCTTCAACAGCTTTCCTTAGTCGCAGAGGAATAGTCCATAAGCCTTTTCTCATCTGCTTGACTCTAAAGTCAGAAACCACATGGCCGCAGCTGTGAAGCTCTGCTGCTTGCTGGGGCTGGAACGTAGCCCCTTGTTCAATCACATGTGCACCAGCAGTCTGTTGTCTGTGGTCTCCGTCACTAAGCTCTTCAGTTCTTTTGCCCAAGCTGGAGGCTGAGCTGGGTGGGGTCTTTCCTTGAGCTCACCACTCCCTTTATTCCATTTAGCATTAGGGTTTTCTTTAAGTTATTTTTTTATCTCTTTATGCACTGGACTTAGCTCCATCACACTTCTTGGTGCTCCCCTTCTCACGCTGTACATTTTCTATTTCTCTTTGTCCAGTTTGCTCATTTTCGTTACTGATCTGCATAAGAGTGACCACTAATAACCACACGACATGGTCTAGGGGATCTACAAATCTCCCCTGCCAATGCCATTAATCCAAAACTCTCCAGTTTGGCCTTAGGCAGATTTTTTTTTTTTTTGGACAAGGATAGAAAGCTTTTTTTCTGCAAGTCTCTATGCCAATTGCTAATATTCTTCCCCTCTGAAGCCTTATGAGTGGGGCTGGTGTAGGAGGGTCTTCTGTCTATGCGTTACTTTCACTGGTCAAATAAAGAAACTGCCTTGGCTTTTTGATAGGGCAGAATTTAGATAGGTGGAATAGACCGAACAGAATGCTGGGAGAAAGAAAGCAGAGTCAGGCAGATGCCATGGCTCTCCTCTCTGAGATGGACGTAGGTAAAACTCATCCCGGTAAACCACAGTCACATGGTGATACACAGTTTTAATAGAAATGGGTTAATTAAGATGCGAGAATTAGCCAAGAAGAGGCTGGATATAATGTGCCAGGCAGTCTTTAAATGAATACAGTTTCCATGTAATTATTTTGTGTAAAGCTAGCCGGGAGCTGGGTGGCGGGAAGCAGCCCACCGCTCCTTTTACAACAGAGTGGTGCAACAGGGGCCATCATAATCTACATTTCTCTCAACACCACTGTCTTCCATGCTCCTACTAGGATGGTCCGATAAGCCCCCACTTGAAGTGCTCAACCACTTTTCTAGTCTGAAGTCCCAAAGTCTTCTATATTTCTAGGAAAAACAGCATGGTCAGCCACTTCCAGTACCAACTTCTGTCTTAGACATCGTTCTGTTGCTGTGAGGAAACACCATGGCCAGGGCAATGATTATAAGACAAAGTATTTAATAGGGTGCTTGCTTACAGTTTCAGAGATTTAGTTCATTATCATCATGGTGGGGAGCATGGCTGCATGCAGGCAGGTACTGGAGCAGTGGCTGAGAGCTATACTTTGATCTATAAGCAGAGAAGACTCTGGGTTTGGCTTAGGTTTTGGAAATCTCGAGGCCCACCCCCAATGACACACTTCCTTCAACAAGGTCACACCTTTCAATCCTTCTAATCCTTTCAAATAGTGTCACTCTCTGGTGACCAAACATAGGAGCCCGTGGGGGCCATTCTTATTTAAACAACAACAAATATAGGAGTTTAGAAAACTTTTTCTCTAAAGCTTTCACACTCAAGATTAAAAAAAAAAAGATGCTACAACAAGTGAAGGAACTAAAATCTGAGGATTAAAGAGAAAGAATTTACTCACAAAATATTTTTATATCAATGTCTCTTTACAGTTCTTGCCTTCTGTTCTCTATTCTAATTCTTCTACCATAACTGCCTATATTTTCTTAGTTCTAATTCTCTTCTAACTCTTCTGTCCTGTCTATAACTTCTTAGCTCTAATTCTCTGTCTCAATTGTAATTCCAGTTCTAATTCTCTGCTACCTCCTTTCTCCTCCTCCTCCTCTTTTTTTTCTCCTCCTCCTCCTTTCTTTTCTCTTCCTCCTCCTTCTAAAATAAGATTGTATTTCTTTGGTAATAGTTTATCTTAAAATCTTAAAAGGTCTCTGGTTGTGGCAGACAGGTTTTTTGACTGTGTGACTGTTTTCACACTTAGCTGGGGAATGTTATCAATACCTCCCAAATGCACAGTGGAAACTGTGCCAAATAAATGATCAAACAGTGCTGAACTGTGGGAGATAAGTCTCAAATTTGTAACAGATAGGAGTAAGCTACAGGAGAAATCTACAGCTATAAACAGCCAGTTCATTCATAAGGTAATAACTTCACTATGCCTTGCATCTTGACTTAATCCTTCACCAGAATTCTTGATCCTCATGAGCTGACCTCATGAAAACATGACTGTATAATTACTGCATAATTCTGCATTTTGTAGCAGAATTGCTTGTGTTCATATCAATGGTCACATAGCATTTAATCCATGCCTGTAGTTCTAGCACTCACGGTGTGGGGTAAGGCAGGGGGTCATGGTTTTAAGACCTTGGTATATGCACAAAAAGGCCCAACTAAGTGTATAAATTAGGCTTTCCAGTTAATCTGTGGCTATTTAATTCTCTCCTATAAAAGCCTCTGGTGTGGGTTGTGTTTTGTTGGAAAGACAAATGTGGGAACTAGAGATGTCTGGGATCACACAAAGCTCTGGACCACATAAACCCATAAACCTAGCACGATGAAATCTGCCTGTCTTCTTAGCACTTGGAGATCCAGGCAGAATGATCAGAAATTCAAGGTTGTCCTTGACTGTGCATAGGGAGTTTGAGGCCAGCCTGGGCCACATTACACCCTATCTCAAGAAGAACCAAATCAACAAAGATTAAGATCCGCCAATAATTCTAACCACGTTCCTCTGGGACTTTTAAGTACAACCTTTTAAGCTTCGAAAAACAAGTCAAGTTTTTAGTTTTGTTTCAATTGCTGGGCCTCAAACCCAGGGCCTGTACATGTTTTACGAATCTCTGCCACTGAACTCTTTCCCAAACCTTCTGATTATTTTAATACTGTTTTAATTTTTACTTTTTTACATTTTGAAATTGTGTTCATGTTGCGTGTTTCTGGTCTCCATCATGCCGTGGCACATGTGTGGAGGTCAGAGGGAACCATGAATCCTTTGGGGATCAGTTCTCCTTCCACACTGTGACCCCCAAACTTGGGTTGTCAGGCTTTGTGACAGACACCGTTTACCCACTGAGCCATCTTGTCAGTTTCTAGCATTCTTTTAATTCTGTTTGTATGACCCCCCCCCCCCCGCAAGCAGTACCTTATGTTTTCTGATGAGGCCACTATTTAGTCATCTTGGATATTGCTTCTACTATCTATCAGGTTACCTAGTTCTAAAGATTGAAATGTGATTTTTAGTAAATCTCCATGGCACTTTCAGCCATGTTGCTCAACACATAATTTTGTTTCATTAGACACTGAGAGGGCTGGTGACATCAGCTGCCTGCTTGGGTGTTTTGTGGCTGGCTCACTGTGAACACTTCAGGTGAGACTTCCCCTCTTCTGAGAAGCCAGTGACCAAGGTCCCTCTCCCCACTACCTGCAGCTGAGGCCCTTTTGTTCCAGGGTTGTGTTTCCTTTGTTCTCTCCCCCTCTCTCTCCCTCGTCTGTCTGAAATAAACTATTTATTTGCAGGCTCATCTCAGTTTCCCCTGTGCAGGTTCTGTGGGAGCAGGGACTGCTTCTGCCCTTTCTATTTCATCAATGCTTAGAGCACACAGCAGACTATTTGTTCTTGGAGGCAGGGTCTCGCGAGTCCAGGCCAGCCACAATCTTGCTTTATAGCTGATGACGATCTTGAATTTCTTAATCCTTCTTCCTCCACTTCCTAAGGGCTAGGTTCATAGTTGTGTGTCTTCACGTCTGGTTTAAC